TGTGTGTGTGTGTGTGTGTGTGTGTGTGTGTGTGTGTGTGTGTGTGTTGGAGATACTAGCGGGGTTGAAAGCCTGAATGTACGTTAGTATACGGAAGCTGAGCTCAGGTTGGAAGCAGAGTTTGCTGGCTCTATAAAAAGCAAATTCTTCTGCGCCAGGCATAGAAGTGCAAGCCTGTGACCCTGACTCCTGGAAATCTGTAGCAGAAGATTGCCTGGCTGCATAGAAACAAACAAGCAGGTGTGATAAGGATCTAGTCGCTTGGCTTGGGAATGGCAGTACTGACACAGAAATGGGCACACTGAGAAAAGTAGCTCTAGCCATGTGAAGGCCTTCCTGGCCTCCTGGCCTGAACAGAGTCACAGAATCTCCCCTATGGCCTGCCCCTGCCAGTTCCCAGTTCCTACCCCCACCATGTACACAATCTTCCTTAGCCCCCATTTCCCTGCCCTGCTATCCAGGGACAGAGCTTAGTGACAGGAAGTCAAGAATGCTGGTTTTGCTTCATGGTTCCCCTTTCTCCCTGCCCACAAGCAGGTGTTAGCCTGACTCCTGGTGCCCCCCTTGGTGGATATTGGGCCACAAGCTTCAGGGCAGCTCCTTCCCTGCTGGCCCTGGCTGGAGTGCAGTAAGGAGCTGCCTCACCTTTGACCCCTTAGCTGGGCCAGAGCTGCCAGCACACACTCCACTCTAGGCCACAGAGATGCTGTCTGGGGGAAGAGGGGATAGGATGCCTTCTAGGACAGAAGACCATCTCAGGGGCCAAACTTTTTGAAGTGTTTTCCAGCCTGTGCCTGACATGGTAATGTTGGCCTATAATTACAGTACTGAGGTAGGAGGATCACAAATTTTAGGCTAGCCTGAAATACAAAATAAGTTCAAGGCCAACCTGGGCAAGTTAGCAAGATACTACCTCAAAAAGTTTATTTTTAAAATGAGGTAGGATGAGGGTAGGGTGGGAGTGCTAGAGTGTTTGCCTTTCGTACAAGAGGCTCTTGATTCAGTCCCCAGTGACACACACACATACACACACCACAAACATGTCTGTGTGTTTCTATGTATATGTATATATTTCCAAACCCAGCATCAGTTCTAACAGCTTCTAAAACCTCTGCCACTCAACTGACATGATAGCCCACTAAAATCAGCCCTGCAGATTGCCAAAGCTCCCAGGGGTCAGCTCCAGGGCCTTCTCTCGGGCTTCCCATCTGGTGGTGTTTGAGGAAGAGCCCGGGGGTCTGCTGGGATGGAGTCTGGCCTCATTACCTGGACAGCAGAGAGCTCAGTTCTCTGAGTCCAAGGCCTCCTTTATCCCCGAGGCATCAGGATCTAAGACCACCAAGGCAGGTTTTCTGGAAAGTGCTGTGGGCTCTTCCCAATCCATTGCTGGCTCGAGGCCCAGATATGACACTGAGAAGCCACAGCCACCAGGAGTGTCCTGGACAGAGTTTCCACAGTGGAGGCCAGGTGGAGGTGACAGGCCATTGTAGTACATTTAGGGGCTTTTCCTCTGATCTTAAAGACTAGCAGCTGCTGATGTCTGTTGAGTTGGGGCAACAGGGTGGAAAACCCCCTAAGAAGCCCCATCAGGGCTAACTGACATTCTCAAGGTGGGAAACCTCAGGACTGACCATTGCATCTGCCACGAAGTCACCGTATGAACATGAGCGTACCCTGTTCTCCACCTGCCCTGGGCTGTCCACACAGGGCAGAGGGCAGAAGGGCAAAGGACAAGAACTATGCAGGGAGTTTATCATTGGCTCTGAAGCAAGCTCCAGCCCCATTGTAGGTGGGGTTTTAGGTCTGAAGCCAGGGAAGTATCTGGCAGCATCAATAAGCTAGGCTCAGCTGCCTGTCCCTATACACCCACAGACAAGATGGCTGAGAGTGAAAAGCAGAAGAGATTTAATCAACACAGTGGGGAAAAGCAGGTGAAGGGGCCCAGTGACCCTGAGTTCATCTTCAGGGTATGGATACAAGTGTTAGGTTCAGTAGAGGAAGACCTAAGTCAGGAGCCAGAGGTATCCCAATTAAACAAACAGTCCTGGCTGAGTTGTGGTCCTGTCCCCTCACTGTTCAGCTTGTGCTGGTTGGTTTGAAACACTGTTACTCTCTTAACACTGATGTCAACAGGGAAACTAACCTGCTTATTCCAAGGTGAAGTCTCACCATCACAGACTGACTTCATCTGCAGCTGGTTGGCCTGAGAAGTTTGCTGTTCTGGAGTCCTGGTGACTGCAGGTTGAGCATACTGTCTTATTTCCCTTCAATCTTGAAGGGGATGAAGGGAGACAGACAGGCCTTAATAATTTCCATGTCCAGGCAGAATGAGGCAAGAAGCTGCCTGTGACTGAGTCACCTGTTACTAGGTAGGCTTGAGGATTCTATTCCAGATCTTTGGAGACTCCGGGGAGGCGTTTGGAAAATTACTTTTCATGAGGGGAATACTAGGAGTATTTGGAATACAGGGAGTGCTTAGAGCAGAGACTTGTGGGAAACACTAACCTTTTCTCCCATGCTTTCTGCTCCTCCACCTACATGGGGGCAGGGAGCAGAGCCTTGAGGCTCAGTCTTATCTCTGGTCCTGTAGCAGAGTCTTGAACCCCCAACAGCCCCTGGAGGGTCTCTAGGCTTGTGCATCCACTGGGCTCTGGAGATCCTTGAAGCTCAATGTCTGATCGTAACAGGCCTGTGCAGGAGACACCATGGCCTCAGTGCCTGCATCTATAAAGTGGGACCCCACTTCCTCCATTCAGGATTGCAAGGACTAGACACAGTGCATATAAAGAGCCCTTTTCAGAGTAGAGACTTAGCAAATTATTCCCTAGTGACAGTGATTTCATGGTCTTAACTGCGGAGCCGGGGTCTGAGGAACCCCGGTGACCCCGCAGCACAATGACATGCGTCTATGTTGAACCTTCCATGAGGTGTCTGTCTCTGCAGAACCAGTGAGTGATACACTTTAAAGGAGTGAATTTAAGAAACGTAAGTCAGAGTTTGTTTGTTTGTTTGTTTGTTTTGCGATGCAGTCTCATAGAATCCAGGCTGACTTCAAATTCATTCTGTAGCTGAGAATAATAACCTTCCACCTGATCTTCCCAGCTCTGCACCCAGAGTTCTGGCATCACAGTTGGGGGTCACCATGACTGGTTTTATGTGGAACTGAAGCCTGGCCCTAAAAATAGCAAAGGACCACCAGGTCATAAACTAGTCCTCTCCCAGCTTTTCAGGGGTAAGGTCTCCTTTGTTTGAAGAGATAAACCTGGGTGTCTCCTGGAGTCTACCTCCTGGGGTCAGTGCAAATTCTGCCTCCTATGCAATGCTCTTTCATCCTGCCCCTTTTTAATTTAAAATTTTAACCAGGGTCTTGGTGTCTTATGTATCCTGAACTGGCATCACACTTTTGGTTTGGATAACTGTGAACTTCTGATCCTACTGGCCTGCCTCGTGGGTGCAGACCACTGGGATTATGAGTGTGTGACACCACACTTGGTTACTAATTTAGTTGTGCTTTTATTTCTGTTTTGTTTTGAGACAGAGTCTCAGGTGGCCCAGGATAACCTTGAACTCAAACCCAAGAATGATCTTGAATTTCCAACCTTCCTGCCTCCACCTCCTGAGCTCTGAGATATGTACTACCAACCTTGTTATGCTGTGCTGAGGGTGAAACCCATAATTTGTATATTTTAGGTAGTCACTCTACCAACTGAGTTATACCCCCAGTGTCCTTTCCTGTCTGATCTCAGTCCAGCCTACTTCTAACTTGGCATTGACCTTTAGGGCCACATGGCCTTCACCATCAGCATAGAGTACCTGTGTGCAGACTACGTCCTTCTATAGTGTTAGCGTCTAAATCCCAGCTGGACTTGTTTCTGTTCTAGCAGTTTCAGTGATCGCTAATCCTCTTGTTTGAACTTTCACCTTATTACACTCTTATCTAGGACTTAACTTTAGAACAGTGGCTCTTAACCTTTGGGTCGTGACCCCTTTGAGGTTCAAACCATCACTGGAAAACGCAGATATTAACATTACAATTCATAACAGTAGCAAAACTACAATAATGAAGGAGCAAGGACACAACATTATGGCTGGGGGTCAGCACAGCACGAGGGTCTGTATTAGAGGCTCACAGCATTGGGACGGTCTTGACCTGCGGCAGCCACTGCTGCAGAAGATTGAATGTAACTTTTGACTGATGATGGAAGCTTCCAGAACATTCTGGGCACTGGGTGCTGTGTGGTTAGTGAGGAAAAGGTAAACAACTCAGTGAAGTATGCCCATTAGTGTCTCTGCCCAACCTAGAGAACCTGGTGATGCTATAGAACCAGGGAGCAAAGAGAGGCCCAGATACCCACCCCAGGTCTTGTCTGAATCTCCAACCCTCCCCCCCCCCACACACACACTTCTAATCCCAGGCCCCTTCTTCCCTGCCAGTCCCAGCTCTCAAACATCTGTTCTGTATATCCAGGATACATTTAAGCCAGGAAACTCTAAAGCTGAAGCAGTGGAGTCTGGACTAGCCTGGGCTGGGCAGAGTTCAGTTCTGAGGGCTTTCTCAAGATTGCTGTTCTTACTTGGAAGAAGTCCAAAGGCCCTGGCCAGAAGACAACAGGGCTATGCTGTCCTTGAGAAAAGGGCTGGCAGGACTCAGAGCCAGCAGACAAGAGTCACCATTTACGGGAAATGCACCCGTTGACAAGAATGGGTAGCAGGCTGTTTGCCAG